GACATTCAGCAATGGCGTGGGACCTGTGAATGAAATAATTTTATATTAGTCTTTTATTGTCCTATAAAGAATGTGTGTAAGGCAATGTGATAGATGCTAAGTTTTGAATGATTTATATTAAATTTTTTCTCAACCAAATATATATTTATAAAATCATTTCAGAAAGTTCTAAGATAATCTATGTAATCTGAAAAATCATTAAATTATATATGTGTGTGTAATATACATAAACCCAAGAGAAAAATAATCACCTTAGATATTAGATATTGTCAATATTGTAATGATAAGGAAGTTGCATAGATTATAGAAAGTAGGTTGCATTTTTAAATTATTATTACAATTTTAGTAATTACTGAGAGGAAAATTTTAGAAAAATTGTCTTTAAAAATATCTACAGCAAGCAAACAAAAATTGAGAAGAGGGGTACAAATAATGTAGGAACGATTCTATCAGTTAATGCAGCTTATGGTTTTGTTTTGGTTTTTTGGCGATTGGCTGCCATGGGGATCCGAACCCTTGACCTTGATGTTATGAGCACCATGCTCTAACCAAGCGAGCTAATCGGCCAGCACTATGTAGCTTACTTTTAAATAGCCAAGAACCTGTTATAAGAAAAAGCAAAGAGGCAAAAAAAGAAAAAAAAAAGTTTAGCATGTTTAAAATGTAATTAAATGTAACACAATGTACATTTTCACACTCAGTAATGATTTCAAATTTCTTAATTCTGACAACCTCTGAGAGCTCCATGTAGGCAAACATAAAGGGGTTAAGTGAAATTTCTGTCATAAAACAAGCTTTTTTACTTTTTTTTTTTTTTTGCTTAAGTTAGTTGTTTATTTGGCCTATTTTAATAATAATATCAGTCAAAATAATCATTCAGTGTGGGTCTAACTGTAGCCTCTATGTTATTAGAAATGCTTGCCTTCCAGAGACATAAATATAATAATTCATTTAGTTAGTCTTATTCATTTATTTGTCTTTACTGAAAAGCATTTTATGGAAAATATTTTACTAGAACACTGTTGTGGTAACAAGAACAACTAGATAAAGCCTTGTTTTAATTTGAAAATTTGAGGCATGTGTCCAAATGTTAGTTATGAAGGAGATCCCCAAATGCTTTCTGGGGCATCTGGATTTTTTTCCCTGTTCTGAATTCGTGTTTAAGCCATGGCAGTTAAATTGAATTATCTGTTAGGGTGGTCAGCTTGCTTATAAAAATATTTCCATGTAGGGGTAAGCTAAGTTATGTAAGCATTAACACTCCATTGAAATAGATAGCACTCAAAATGACCCAATTGAAGAATTAAAGAAAATTAAAGCATTGTATTTTGAGGGGGAATTCCTGGAGTTAGAGATAGAGAGATAGATAAACAGATTCAGAGAGAGAAAGGGTCAAAGAGAGAGAGAAAACCAACTTCTATCATTTACCTAGAACCAGTCATTTATTCTTGCAGTTGGAGGTGATTAAAACTCAGATATGTCCACCAAATGGTCTGTGACATAAGGCAAACGTGGACAACTTAAGGGTAGCACACATAAAATCTTACAAGTTAAACAGCAATATCCCTAATGCATGTTTTGGGGACAGGGATTGTTATGAGGTGATCTGTGTGGTTAAGACCAGTGAAAGGATAGATAACAGATGTGAAATCTTTTGAGGTTTGTACTTTAGAATCATATGCAAGAGTTAAAACAGATAAAACAATTAGGAAATGTCAATTCAAATAGTCAATTAACATGAATTAGGAAAAAGCTCTTAAGATAGTTCAAACAGGAATTTGAACTCTGGAAAAGCGATTTTCTGAATGTCTATCTTTAGAAATAGCTAAAATGCTAATAGCCATTTTTACTGAAGGGAAATGATATCTTAAAATGGTTTTGATATGCATTTCCCTGATGATTAGTGATGTTGAGCATTTTTTTACATGTCTGTTAGCCATTTGTATATCTTCTTTTGAGAAATCTATTTAGCTTATTTGCCTATTTTTTGATCACATTATTATTATTTTATTCATTTATTTATTTTTTTGCTGTTGAATTGTTTGAGTTCTTTGTATATTCTGAGTATTAATCCTTTGTCAGATGCATGGTTTGCAAATATTTTCACCCAATCTGCGGGTTGTCTCTTTACTGTTTTCGTTTTCTTCGCTGTGCAGAAGTTTGATATAATCCCACCTGTCTATTTTTGCTTCTGTTGCCTGTGCTTTTGATGTCCTCTTCATAAAGTCTTTGCCCAACCCAATGTCCTGAAGCATTTTCTCTGTTTTCTTCTAATAGTTTCATGGTTTGGGGTCTTATCTGTAAGTCTTTAAATCATTTGAGTTGATTTTTTCTATACGGTGAGAGATAGGAATCTACTTTCATTCTTCTGCATAAAGATACCCAGTTTTCCCGGCACCATTTATTGAACAGACTGTTCATTTCCCAATGAATAGTGTTGGTGTCTTTGTCAAAAATCCATTGGCTGTAAATACAGGACTTTACTTCTGGATTCTCTATGCTGTTGCATTTGTCTGTGTGTCTGTTTTTATACCAGTAACATGCTGTGTTGGATACTAAAGCTTTGTAGTACGAGTGTATATTGAAATTGGGTAGTATGATGCCTCCAACTGTTCTTTTTTCTCAGGATTGCTTTGGCTATTTGGTTTTTTTTTGGGGGGGGTCTATATAAATTTTAGGATTGTGTTTTCTATTTCTGTGAAGTGACGTTCTTCACAATACCAGTGATAGGGACTGTATTGAATCTGTAGATCACTGTTGGTAGTATGCTCATTTTCACAATATTAATTCTTCCAATTCATGAACATGAGAAGTCATGTCCATTTCTTTGTGTCCTTTTCAGTTCCTTTCATCCGTGTTTTATAATTTTCCTTGTAGAGTTCTTTCTTTCACCTCCTTGGTTAAATTAATTCCTAAGGTACTTTTTTGGGGGGGAGGTTGTTGGTTTTTGTAGCTATTATAAATGGGATTGCTTTCTGGATGTCTTTTTCATCTTTCTTGTTATTGGTGTATGGAACCACTACTGTTTATTGTATGTTGATTTTGTATCCTGCAACTTTGCTGAATTTATTAATCAGTTCCAAGAGCTTTTTGGTGGAGCTTTTAGGGTTTTCACTATGTAAGATTATGTTGTCTGCAAATGGGGACAATTTGACTTCCTCCTTTCCAATATGGATGCCCTTTTTCTCCTGCCTAAATGCTCCAGCAATCCCACTACTGGGTATATATCCAAAGGAAAGGAAATCATTATATTAAAGAGATATTTTCAGTCCCATGTTTATTGCAGCACTACTCACAATAGCCAAAATATGGAATCAACCCATGTCCACAACAAATGAATGGATAAAGAAAATGTGGTGCGTGTATGCATATGTATATATATACACAATTAAATACTATTCAGCCATAAAAAGAATGAAATCCTGTCATTCACAGCCACATGGATGAGCTTAAAGGTCATTATGTTAAGTGAAATAAGCCAGGAACAGAAAGAGAAATGCTGCACATTCTCATATGTGGAAGCTAAGAAAATTGATTACATAGAAGTAGAGAGTAGAATGGTGGTTACCAGAGGCTGGAAAGGGGTGGGAGGGGGATGAGGTGATAGTGAGAGGTTGGTTAATGGATACAAAAGTACACTTAGGTATGAGAAATAGATTAGTGTTCTATAGCACTGTAGAGTGATTCTAATTAACAGTAAGTTATTGTATATTTTCTATTAGCCAGAAGAGAGGGTTTTGAATGTTTCCAACACAAAGAAATGGTAATGTTTGAGGTAATGGCAAAGAAAATGAGTGGTTACTGGGGTTTTAGGGAAGGAGATTGGGAGAAAGGGATGAATAGGTGGAGCACGGAGGATTTTTAGGGCAGTGAAACTATTATGTATTATACCATGATGGTGAACACATGACATTATGCATTTAGCAAAACCCATAGAACTATTCAGCACTAAGAGGCAACCCTAATGTAAAATTGAGCTGATAATACTGTATCAATATTTGTTCATAATTCTAACAAATGTACCACACTAATGTAAGCTATTAATAATTGGAGAAACTGTTTAGGATGGGGTATTGGAACTATCTATACTTTCTGCTCAATTTCTATCTAAACCTAAAACTGATATAAAAATAAAGTCTATTATTTAGAAAGAAAAGAGAAATAGCTAAAACATGGAACATAGAATATTGGTTTACTTAGATTACAAAATTAATAAAAATTAATATATATAATGTAGCCATTTTACTAACTTATTGACATCATTGAATTATGTTCTATACTTTTATACTATTATATGTTTGATGGCTTCCAATAAATATTTAAATTACTACACTTTAAAAAAAATCTCAGTTGAACTTAAAAGTATTTGTATGTTTTATAGCACATTAGAAACAGTCAGTATTTTGATTCTCTGTAAAAATTGTAGGTTAGAATATTTATGTATTTATATATTCCTGTCATCTTTAACAGAAAATAAGTAATATACTAACATCATAATCATATGTGTACATCCTAAATATTCCCATGGTGTGAATGTAGGAAAACCACCATGAAGTTAAATTGCCTTAAGCAACTAAAAGTATAATGACCTTTCTTTACATATTTTTTATCAACACATACCTATGAAATAGGGAAATTTTTTTTTGCAGTGACTGGATATGTGAATAATATGCTTTAACTAGGTGGGACAGCTGAAGTTAGGGTGGACCTGAAAGATGCATTTCTACTAATGAAACCTTAGTCATGTTCCTGCCTGAGGACTGGGAAATGGTACTGGACACCCAAGTCCTAATTTAAATTTAGCAACTGGAGTTTACGGTAGGTTGTGTGGTTTCCCTGTAGTGCCTCCCTGAATTCATTAATGGTCTCCGTTTTTCTAGTTGTATTAGTAAACTGAAAAACATGTTTTTTTCTTTTTTTTTTTTACTTTAGCTATTTTGTTTTGTCATTTAATTAAATTTTATTCAGCCTAATGGACATCTATTTTTCAATTCATCCAGGTACGTGTATTCACATTTTCAGTTGGTCAACATAATTATGATAGAGGACCTATTCAGTGGATGGCCTGTGAAAATAAAGGTAATAGATACGTTTTCTTGACAACATTTGATTAGAAGACATATTTTGGTAGTTATTGTTAGGTCTACATATTATCATTTAAAATAATCTGAAGTTGTAGCTAACTTTAATAGGAATCAAGGCAAGAATAAGATTTTGAAAAAGTTCTCTATGGAGAAAACACATGCACAATATATTTTGACATTAGCATTACATTATATAAAAATTCAGACATCTGATATTATTGTACATTCATAAACTGCTATAATTTATTGAATAATACTTAATGCTATACATATAATCTTACATGAAAAATTAGAAATGAAAGAATATCTGAATTTTATAAAACTTACATATGAGTATGCCATATATGCATATTTTTTTCCTGAGTGGTTAAATTATTGTTTTTTGAAAACTGTCATCTTACACATTCCTACATAACTCAAATTTTGTGCAGTGAGCCTGTATTTCCTTTGTACTCAGAAAAAAATAATGTTACTAGAAAAAAAGATGTTATTTGAAAAATAAACTGATATCATAGCAACAAAAAAGATCCTGAATTTATTTGAAAGTTATATTTAGGCAAAAATTTTATATAAATATAACAGTTATCAGAGATCTATCCCTTATGCATATTATTTTTTCAGTGAAAAATATGCTTTCAATGATGCCAGGTTCCCAACTTAGTTGTAGAAGAATAACATTTATTTTACACTATCTAAGAAATGTGGCAAAATCTCTCACAAAGCCTGTGAATTTGCTATGAATATTTACTAATTAAATATTTTCTTAATTAATCATTAGTATTGATATTTTAGTCTTTGCTTAATTTAAAAGTAAAAAAAAAACCCTTTTCTTCTACAAAGACGTAAAATAATTTTGTTGTCCTTAATATAATGTAATATTTATATGTAAAAATATGTGTGTGTATATATATATTTCAGGTTATTATTATGAAATTCCATCTATTGGTGCAATAAGAATCAATACTCAGGTATGGCTATTTCTTTTCTGGTTTAAATATGCTTGATATGGAAAAAATAGGTGAAAATAAAGAAAAGATTCACAATATTGCATTTGTATTAAAATGCTGAGTATCATGGTGTAATGTATTCGTTTTTATTTCATTAAGATTCCAAATGTTTTCAAAAATCCATAATGCTGGTAAAAAAAATATATAAATGTAAATGTGAGTATACTGTTATTCTCAATGTTAAAAACATAAAAAATGAATAAAGTCAAATTTACTAACAATCTCATCTTATGTAATTTGAACTTGGTTCTATTGCACACAATTTAAATGAGTTTCTTCAAGTTGTAGATACCACATAGAAAAATAAACAACAATTATTCTGGACAAATTGCAGGGCCCTAGTTAGAACTTAGATACTTCCCAAATAACCTCTGTAGATCTGTTTACCTTTTAAAAATAAAGTTACAAGAAGATGATTTATCTAATAGCATTCAGTTGAAAACATGCCAGTTAAGTAACTTTTTGTAGAATGAAGTAATTAAGTTAATTTAAATACACATGTTATTTTTAAATATTCATAAATTACTATTAAAACTATTGATTAATTTAAAGCATAGCTGAGGATCTACAAAATAGTCTAAGTCAAAATGTAGCATAAAGAGCATGGCACTGGTGAAAATGAATACTGAGTACATTGTATGTTGAAATGAAACAGCAGCTGCATTTGAGTCTGATGTCTAGATTTGGCACAGTATTTCATTTATTTTTTGATATGTTTAAATGTAGTTTTGAGTTTCAGCCAAACAATCCGTGATATGAAAGCAACTATGTGGCTGCTTTATTATTTCAAATTTGTGCGATTCCATGCAGTAAATCACAGATCCTTAAATAGTTTAGATTAATATGAAACAATTCCCAAGGAACGTATTTCACTTATCAATGCCTGTAACTCAGAAATACAGTGTTCTGATTGTTACTAGAAAAAAACTGGGGTAGATATGCTGTATAAATAATATAAGTCAAATATTGTTGATTCAAAGTATAAAGTATGTAGATATACCACTTATGGAGTACCCAAAGTAAGAATTAAATGATTATATACTCATTCTCTTGGTAATTTTGAATCCATGTATATTTTTAACTCTAGATTATGTTCTCCTCTGTGGAGATTTTTTTTTTTTTTAACCCAGCATTCCTAGTTTTCAACCACATTTTTCCTTCTTTTTTTTTTTTGGATAATAAATAGGAATATTTGGATGTTCTGGGAAGACCAATGGTTTTAGCAGGAGACAAAGCTAAGCAAGTCCAATGGACAAATGTGTACCTGGACGCACTGGTAAGAGGTCAGGCTGTTCAACCAGACTGTAGTAACAAAGGCACACAGCTGTCTTCTGCTTCTTTCTAGGTGGCATTTTTCTTCTCCTCTTCATGAAACCCTTTCTAAAATTCCTTCAATCACAAGCTTCTTTGCTAGAATTTAGATAATTTACATAGAAACCTAGATTTGTATGTAGTAGAGAACCACAAACATAAAGCATTATTATATTTTTTAATTAATCCAATGAGAATGTAGAATTTGCAGCCTAGAAGTTGAATATTTCAGCAAGTTTTTGAATGTTTCATTTAAAAATATAATGTTTCAAGTCATGTGAATTAGAACCTATCTCTGTTAAGAATTTGAACAAGAATTTTGAAGAAAGTATTTTTAATACAGACCATCTGGTAGAAGCAAGTTATGGCCTTCACTACTGTAGCCAGATCCACCAAGACTCAGAAGTACATGCAGTTAAATAGGCAAAAAGCATACCCTATACAGAAATCACCACAAACCTAACCACCTCTTCATACATAATCTTTTGTATTAGATTCAATGGCAGAAATTTTTATGGAAATATGCCCATTGAGTTAATCAACTCTGGTGTAAAATAACAAACACATGATAAATTGTTCATGTACAATTGACATTTTAGTACAGGTATTCCATCATATTTTCAAGCAGTGGTTCTAAACTCGGGGTGATTTTGCTCATAGGTCATTTGGAAATGTCTGTAGACATTTTTGACTGTCATGGCGGGAGTAGAGGGTTTCCTACTGGCATCTAGTGGATAGAGGCCAGGGGTGCTGCTAAACATCCTACAGTGTACAGGACAGTCTCTTCTACATACACACAACAATGAATTATCCAGTCCAAAATGTTAATAGGATCAAAGTTGATAAATTTCTTTTAAATGTAATTTTTACTCTCTGATATGAAAGTTAAATATAATAATTATCCCACTTAGGATTTATTCATATGCTTAATCTTAATGAGAAGATATCATTAATGATTTGCTAAAATAATGTATTGGAGAGAAACAAAATACTAAGCCCCCCAAAGTAAATGCTGATTCAGTAACGATTCCTCCTTCTTGGATTTGGATTATATGCTCTAGCTACTTTTTAAAATGCAATGATGAACCCAAAGGGCAAAATGTATTCCATTTAGAATTACTTATCATTTGGTTTTTATAAAATAAACATATACAGGAAGTAAGACAAAAAATAGGCACTATCAGCAGCCGCTTTGCATGCTAAGAAAGATAAAGTGAAGCTTGCTTACCACAATCCCTAGCTAAAATTACTATCCAGTGTTCCTTCTTGACATCACATATTTACTTAAGGTCACATGGTCATCTAAAGCTACAGTCAGAATGTTTTGCTTTTTCAAATCCATCACAGGACAGTGTATGATAGGAGGAGTCAATAATTGTGCCCTCTTGTATTTCCTATGACCAGAAGTTCATTAACCAGCATGTCTACATTGCTGGTAAAGTTCTTACTGATAGCACAAATGACACTGGGAGGAAATGATGGCTTTAAATGTGCTGTTCTACCAGCACATTGAAACTAAATGTAAAAGAAGAAAAAATGGGGCACATGAATTGGCTATTCATTGGATACAAAGATTATTCTTTTTACCGGATTGAGAGCGATATTTCTAGTTATTTGTTTAGAATCTCTGCACATAGCAGATTCAAAATATATGTTGGTCTAATCAACAATATATTAAGAAGGAAAAGGTAAAAATATGTCAAGACAAATTGTAATAAATATAATGAGAAAAATTCAAAGAGCTCTGGAATTTCAAAATAAAGAAGTCATATTTTGGGGTAGAGTGGGTTGTGGTTAAAAAAAAGGTGACATCTTAGCTGAACATATGAGTCCAGGTATGGCTTCCACAATCGATGGGGAAGAGTGAAACCACACAAAGGGGGTATAGTACAAAGGTTGGGGAAATACCGGGTATATGAAAGGAATGATACCTTGGTCACTTTGGGAGGTAATGGGACATAAGAACAGAACCAGGACTGGGACAACACTGTGGAGGGTTCAATTTATTTGGGAGATAAAGTGAGGCTCTTTATATAAAAAGAGAGAACTGAGAAGAGTTGGTCTCTAAAAATAAATATCAAATAAATTCTAGGAAAGAGAAATGTTTTATTTGTCTTTTTAATCTCTAGAGACATGTGCAGGGCCCAGGAATAGAACACAGATTTTAGATCTGCTTGATAAATGATGGAAAAAATGGAAGTTGAGCCCTAATAAGTTCATCATGATTGTCTTAAATATAGTATGTTAGTAATCTGGTATCTCATCTTAGGGTACATATTAACATTTTTAGAAGCAAATTATGGTATCTGTATAAACACAAAAGTGATGCAAAGAAAAAGATTGTGTCCACATATACCTTACCTTATACCATAGAAGCATTTTTTAAACTATGCACATAAATAATAACTCAGCTCACCAAAAGGAATCTTCACTGAATTGTCTTTTGGATACTAGTTTTATGAATTTATGTCTTTTGGATACTAGTTTTATGAATTTTAATCCACAATCTGACTTTACTGAGATGGGTGGTTTTCATTAGGAATATTAATTTACATAATTAATTTAGGATATTTTCGTTGTTAAAAATTCTTGGTTAGGACTAAATAGAGGGCCAGTGTGTATATCATCATACACCAAATTAGATTTTTTTTTTTTTTGCCCAAATAATTTGGTATCTTGTTCTGCTGGAAGCCTCTCTCTGATTGTTCCTCCTCCCTAATTCAGTTTCTGTTGTTTGGGGGCTGGCCCGTGGCTCACTCGGGAGAGTGTGGTGCTGATAACACCAAGGCCACGGGTTCGGATCCCATATAGTGATGGCCGGTTAGCTAACTGCTGAGCGTGGTGCTGACAGTTTCTGTTGTTTGGGGGCTTCCTACCTACACAATTACAAACCATAGCTTATCTAAGATAATTTCTCCATGAGACCATGCTATTTCTTGAATCGGAACAGAGTTCATGAGATTTAGATCTGGAGTATGTATTCACAAGTAGATTATTATTGTTTTTCCATTTTAGCAAATTCAAAATTTCCATCAATATTTTAAAAGTTATTTTAAAGAATGGTCTTGTTGTAAATGTAGTTTTGACATAAAATAGTGATAAAAATATAATGGCCACAAATGTCATTAATACTTTTTAAAGAAATTAACCTCTATCTCTAATTAACAACAATTTATTATATACTTTCAATTAGCTAGAAAAAAAGATTTTGAATGTTTGAGATGGATGTTAGTAACCTGATTTGATCATTACACATTGTATAGATGTATGGAAATATCACACAGTACCCCTTAAATATGCACAATTTTTAAGCATCGATTGGGCCGACCCCGTGGCGCACTCAGGAGAGTGTGGCGCTGGGAGCACAGTGACGCTCCTGCCACGGGTTTGGATCCTATATAGGAATGGCCAGTGAGCTCACTGGCTGAGCGCGGTGTGGGCAACACCACACCAAGGGTTGTGATCCCCTTACTGGTCACGACAAAGACAAAAAAAAAAAAAAAGCATCGATTGAAAATTTTAAAAAAATAAAGTTGGAATAGATCCTCTACATGAACCAGAAGATATGAGATTAATGGATGACAGATAATACACAAAAACTATGATGTTAAATTGGCCAAGGCCAAACCAAGATACAAGGGAATTGAATTAAGCGGAAAGGGAAGGATGTTACAATTTGTATTAAATATATACTTATACACCAGTATTATATATGCTATCTCTGCAACTGTGTGAGTAAGTGACCAGGCTAATTGCCTCTGACAGGGAAATTACGTGGCTGGAGAAGAAGGACTTGAGAAGGATTTGTTTTTCCCTATGTGTATTGTTGAAGCTTGTATACCTAATAAAATTTTTAATTAATTTAAAAAAATTGAAACTCTAGATGATGAAAGTATAGGAGATAGCCTAGTCTCTTCTTTTAATAAAAAAGAAAATCAGTGTATTTCATCTAATCTCCTTGTATTGATTTAATATATGAAATTATCTACATGTTGATTAATACAGTGTAGTATGGCATTATTTTTGTTATGCTAAACTGCTTCATAACTAGACTTTCATATTTGATATTTGCATTTGTCTTTTCTACATCATTTTACTTTGTCAAAGAGTACTATTTAATTTGGGGGCTATTTAGAAGTAACACTGCTTCTTTTGAACAGTACAGTATTTACCTAGAATATCCTAGAAATGCAGTGTCAATAGCATGTTTCTTCTATTTATCATGTTATTCAGCTGCACATTTTTGGTTTAGGATGAAGCCTTTGATTTAGGGTTTAAAAAATTAAGCCTAAAGCTACAAAAAAGGGGAGGTAAATAAATAGCTTAAGATAATAGTTTAATATCACTCTGCTTATGAGGCCCCTGATATTAGGTGAAATATCACCGTGGAAAAAGGCAGGGGGCAGGATTACTGAAGTCTTTAGAGCTCTTGATTATTTATGTAAGTTGATTTTTTAAATTTTAAGTTATTTGCAGTGCCCTCTTAGAATATTAGTTTAAATGTTGCATGCTTCAATATCTACCTAATATGTTCTGATTATTTCCAACACATTTTCATTGATTTTTTTAAAAATAATTTTTAATAATCAAAATTAGTTACTAGTATTATTGTGACTCTTTCTGAAGTTACTAGAAAATGCAGTTTCAGATATCAAAGATTTAAATTGTGATTTTCATTTGTCTTTTCTCTCTGAATCTATTTTTAGGAATTGGGACTTGTCATTACTGGAACTCTTCCGGTCTTCAACATAACTGGCCAATTTGAAAATAAGACAAACTTAAAGGTTAAAAGTTAATTGATAAAAACTAATAATAATAAATGATAAACTGTGACGTTGAAACTCAATGTGGATAAGATATTTCTATAAGGAAATACATACAATGTAACTGTCTTGTGACGCCAGAGGTCAAAGGCAGCAGCTGCCTATGCGATAATGACCTGGGAAAAAGGAAATGCAGGTCAAACTCTCTGTTGCCCTACAGCCAAGATTCAACTTAATTCTATTTAACTATGACCTGATAAGGACACAAAGTCAAATTCTGAGAATAATTACATGATAAATGGACAGTAACATTGTGTGCACATTTTAAAAATGCATCTGAGATATTCATGGAGTTCAGAAAGAAAAATCCAAAGACCAAAACCATGGGGATGTTTGTATCAGATATATATAGGTATATTTATTGAATCATTCCTCTAACAACTCCCAAACCGTAATTTTTTGGTCATCTTGTAACCTAAGAAACTGATTTAAATTAATAGTTCTCTTTTTTTTTTTCTATTTTTTAAGATATAGGAAAAATTATGAGCTTTATAAAAATGCTTGATTTCTTTAGCACACTGGCAATATTGTCAATATAATAAAATGCTACATACTTAAAAGTTCGGGAAAATAAGTATCTTGTATTCTATTTCTTATTTGTTAAACACTTTTAATTTAAAAATAGGGTTGCATTTCTATATCTTAGCTTGATTCAAAACAAATTTAAGACCGCAGAAGTTTCTTTGTTTAATGCTAAATACTTATTTTATAATGTAGATGATATTGCTGATTTGAGGTGATATTTATTGCCAGTTTATGATTTAATGCAGTCTGTTGCGCTTAAGCATTATTTGTTCAGTTATTATAAATCTCAGCTGAACTCGTTATTTAATAATATAGCCACAGAAAACAGTTATTTCTCTTTGGGGGCCCATTACTGTTCTTAAATATCCGTGGGTTCTAAATATTCTAAGTCATAAAGGAGTAATTCTCTAAACCCTTCTCATGTATGTTTACAAATCTCTCTGTGGACCAAGAGAATGCTTTAGTTTGGGAGTTTTTGTTCAGTCTAGGATTGGTTCACGGGAAAAGAGCATAGTTGTTGACATAATTCTCACTCTGTCTGCAGCTACACAAAGTTTGAAGTGTTTTTGTAAATATTGGTCAGATTTTATCATTTTGTCAATGCATTTCGATTTATCATTTTATAATTTGTATAATTCTGTTTAAAACAAAATCCTGACTCAAAATTTTAACACAGCTTCCATCTTTATGTCCCATACAAAACAGCAATTTGCCACATAGCCTCTTTGGCTTGCAACTAAAACTGTAATTTCATTGTTTGGTATTTAGAAGTTATTAGCAGCAGTTAGGAACAGTGTTTTGAGGAATTTAGTACAAAAAAAAATCATATACTTTTAGGGTAATTGCACATATACAGGTACTACCAACAGCAACAATACAATGTGTTCTTTAATAAAAACATTTAATATATGTAATTAAAATTTTCATTTATCTTTTATAGTTTAGCCTCAGCCACCCAAATTTCATTGGTTAAGTTTAATAATGATGATAATGTGTAAAACAAAGCTGAGAATCCTTGTAAATTGATTGAAAAAGTACCTCACCCTATGTGTGTATGTGTATATATATATATATATATATATATATATATACACACACACACACGCACACACACATTTAAGCTAGTATGCAATACAACCATTTTCAATGCAAAAAGATGAATGTATATAATAACTGTAGAAATAAATAGATTTTTGGTATAATATGCGTTTTTTGCCATCTTATTACAGAACCAGCTGATTCTTGGTGTGATGGGAGTCGATGTGTCTTTGGAAGATATTAAAAGACTGACACCACGTTTTACAGTAAGATGCAGTTTGTTCTTTTGGTACCTTTTCTGTGTTAGAACTCTGTACTAATTTAGTTTGTCAATAAAGCACTTAAGTGATTCTCAAAAATTATGTGCAGTCGCCTTAGCAAAAGAACAAAATATTAAAAACCATCCTTAAAGTAAAATGTAGAGATACCGTGTTATCCTTCAACATGCAATAAAATGTTTATTTAATAAACTAATTGATTTAAGCAAATTTTTTTTAAAAAAATGAATATGGATTTCTGACTATGACTAGGATATATTTGTCTAAGCTTTTCTGACTATTTTTCAGCTGTGCCCCAATGGCTATTATTTTGCAATCGATCCTAATGGTTATGTTTTATTACATCCAAATCTTCAGCCAAAGGTATGTATATAGTTTGTTTACAGTAATCGGTATTTTGTAATATTAATGGGCAATGTTCTTAATAGGATTGTCATTATTAAATTCACTATATAGCACAAAATATAAAAAACACAGTCTGTAATGTGGCTCCCTTTTTAGATGACAAGACCACAGATTATAATATATGCAAGCATGAAAGCAGCTTCCATTTTCTCTTTCCAATTTAGCTTAACTAATATTCCTATCTCAAAGGCAGCCATTATCACCTCCCGCGCCTCAATTTCATACCTCCAGAGCCTCAATTTCATACCTTTCACTTGCGACTTTGATTAAGACTATAAGGTAGTGAAGGTTATTGCTCCTGACCTGGGTGTGAACCTGACAAACATTAGTAAGGTTCCTCTATGCCCAGACCACATTGTCTCTCACATCTTCTCTTCTGGTAATTATCTCTGCTTTGCATCTCCCAGAGTGTTTTTAATTTATTGCAGTCTAATAAAGATATGTAGAAAGTTCAATAAATAAAATCCTTATGATGGACTTCAGAAATGGAAAGTGTTTATTAATCAGGTAGTAAATCTGCAAGTGATAAAATGCCATAGATGAACAGTTTTATTCTAATCCTTATGCCTATTTTCCCAGGCTACAAAATATTTTCATAAAATATCTCATTCAACTCCTTTCACTTTTTACTAATGATTCACAAGGCTATAATGGCAAAACTCATTTATCTAGAAGTAAAATAAGGCAAAACCTTATAATTGCCATTGATAAGCATCTTTGTTATTGTTTAACTTTGAAGATAAGATTAAAGATACTTTTAACCGTGAAGATTTATACATACTATCTTCTTCTCCCCTGTCATGGATATTTAATGTTAATCATATATTAGAAAACACACAAGTGTGTGCATATGCACATACATACACACATAAAGTTTCATTTAAATATTTTTCAAATCAATGACAAAGCACCATTGATATCAAATACAAAACCATATTAAATGTAATAAATCAATTATAATTTAATCATTTAAGTAATATTACATATTATAATTACTGTATCTATTTTAATGCTCACTTTAGAACTTATTTTTATAGAAAATTCATCATGATATAAATATTTGCTAAGCAAATGTAGCTGCTGATCACCCTACATTATGTTTAAATGTGTTATTTTAATAAAAATATTGCATAGGCACTTTTTTATGTTATTATTAAACTATCACAGCTCCCTAAAAGCATGTCATGTTAAATTCCTCTTAATAGAGTTGTTTGCAGTTGACAACTCATCCTATGATTTTGCCATAGCTGAAAGTTTTTATCTTTTTAAATCTTAAATGTTTTTACATTTTGCCATATTGTTGTTTTGTCTTTATATATCCAGTATATTTTAAATTATATTCCCCTAAAGTAAATTAAAAGCAATAAGAAAGTAATGTGCTAAAGCATACAAAGGGATTCCTACTTTTATGACTGTAGACCTTAACCCTCCCCGAAAAGAACTAAAATATATCATAGACAAAAAAAAAGAGAGAATAATGCATGTGTGATGGATATATATATCCATTATATAGTGGTAATAACAATTTTGGTTGTTTTCATAGTAAAAGAGAGGTAATAACCTGAAAAAGGTTTTCCCTTTTTCCATATTTTACTAATAACCAATACTTATATAGAAAGTATTTTATTACTATTTAAATATTGTTAACATATATTTGGTTCATATTTGGATAAATCAATTCACTAAAATTCATAAAAATACAAAGAAAATATAAATTCTATAGAAATCTTCATTAAAGCCTTGGTATTTTTTTTATTCCATATTATAAGTTAGCTTTTTATATTTATAGTGGATTTTATTAAAGCAAGTTTTCACAAGACATTTCAAGAAATACTGCTTCAGAAAACCGTAAAATAGAAATTAGTCTGAATAATCAATGTATTCCTTTTTTTCTAAAATTCATGCTTGTGAATTAAATATGATTATAAATTCTTATTAACAGATTAACTATTATGATTTCTACTTTGTGGGTAGAGGTGCATGCTATATAGATTGAAATAAGAACCTCATAAAATGATGATATAGTATAAGACAAGTCTTTTAGAAATTGACAAATACAAAGGACCAATATAGTAACAGTTAAAATACTAACAAAATTAATCTTAATTAATTTATCATAAATGTATCAACACAAATGATGGAAAATAAAGCTATATCCCTTGTACCCACTATTATTTGACAACATAGAAGTCTAATGTTCTGCAAGTTTTCCTTGTTGTGTCTTATATTTTCTTCCTGATACTATAATCTTAATTTAAAATATTTTAATACAGGCTTGTAGTTTGTAGAAAGCAAAATGAGTGTCCTTTTAAAAGCCCGGAATAAGAGTAAAGTAGCTGTAAATTTTTTGCATATCTAATTTTTTAGGAATTATTTATTTTCTCAAACTGTACTATTACCACCATCGCCACATTTTCGCAAATGCCGAATTATGAATCCTGATTTATTCCAAAATGCATTGTAAATTTCTTCCATTTTGTCTCATTGAAATAACCAAATTAAGTCTACTTATTCAAATATCTCAGTTTGCTCAATTCTAACAAATACATGTTGTATAGAAAATTGTGCATAATCTATGGTTTAGAAGTGAACATTTAAAATAAATCTACAGTGTTATTGTTGAATTCTTCATTAGTTCCACACATATAACATTTGCTATTACTTCAGAAAACAAAGGCACAAATTTTAATGTTTTAATTTAAATGTTTAAGAGTTTTTGATATCCTGTAATATTTGTTTTAGTCTGATCAGGTTGCTATAGCAAAATACCATAGACTGGGTGGTTTATAATCAGCAGAAATAGATTCTCAGTTCTGGAGGCTGGCAAGTTCCAGATCCAGGCACTAGCAGATCAGTATCTGGTGAGGACCTGTTGCTCAATCTTTTCACTCTAACCTCAGGTGGCTGAGGGGGTGAAAGGTCTCTCTTGGGCCTCTTTTGTAAGGACACTAATCCCATTCATAAGGGCCCCACTCCCATGGCCTAATCACCTCCCAAAGGCCCCACCTCCTACTACCATCACCTTTGTAGGGGAGAGGATTTCAACATATGAATGGGGGGGGCCAGGAACTAACAATATTTATATTTTATATATTTGGGTCATGTAAATTCTAACAATTCCTATTTCTCTCTCTTTTTTTAATCAGTGAAAAAGTAATCTGGGACAAACCATCTCTTCCACTTCCCAAACACATACTTTTCTAGGGAAAAAAGGAAAACATTACCCATCATTTTGCTTAAAAAGTGACTTTTGGGCCGAGCCCGTGGTGCACTCAGGAGAGTGCGGTGCTGGGAGCGCAGCAGTGCTCCCGCCGCGGGTTCAGATCCTATATAGGGATGACCGGTGCACTCACAGCACTCACTGGCTGAGCGCGGTGCAGCCGGTCTCAAAAAGGACAAAAAAAAAAGTGACTTTTACTAGCATAGCATTTTTTATTCACTAAAGATATTTTCTTTTCTTTCTTTTTTTTTTTTTTTTTTTTTTTGTGACTGGTAAGGGGA